GAAGATTATTGTAAACAATTTTAGTTGAAGGAACCCTGAGATGATCGGTGGAAAAGAAATTTGGAAAACTGGAAAAAACTTTTGCATTAAGTCAAAAATGTATGAATGAGCTCAGTTTTTGATACGATTTGTCTCCTTTTTATCACGAAAAATGGACCCAAGGGCGTCCAATTAGGAGCCCTATACTTAAAAATTTGGGCTCAATCTTGGAAAATTGGGGCCCAAAAAATGGAACCAATGTGCTAAAAATTAAGCTCATTCAGCCCTTTTATACAACCGAAACGACTCATTGGGTGCTTTTTGTGCCACTGGAATGACGCATTCAGTACCCACAACCTCTGCGCTACTTCTGTTCTACCAGTCATTGGAGTGACTTTGTTTTGGTCTATTGAACTGATGAGCACAAATTGCTGAAAATTGAGCTCATGCATCTCCTTTTGTCAAAAGTTGGGCTGTTTTCGAAGCTCTTTTAAACTTTTCGGTCTCTTTTTGGGCTCTTTTTGAATTGGCTCTTTTTGAAAAAATGGGCTCATCATTACGAGGCCAAACTGTGCATTTTGCGAGTTGTGAGCGGGTTCCACATCAAGCCAAAAAGAGAATTGTTGCAGAATCCGCAACTTTGCTTTTTACTTTATTTTCTTTGCTGTTTTGAATATTATGGAGAAATAGCTAAAACACGGTATCTCTCAAAATCGCTCCAAAAACAGGCAGTTTTGCAAATCATCATCACAATCCGTGAAATCCGCGGACTCCGGAACAGTTTAAGAAATCCATAATCAAAAATTATTTTATGTGTTTAGTAAATTTAAGCTGTCGTGAAATCCGCAACTGTAAGTAGAATCCGCAAATTGTAAGTAAAATCCGACAATTGTTAGCGAATTTCACAAATTGAAAGCGTAATCCGCAAACTGTAAGCGTAATCCGCATAAAATTGCGGAACCTAATCACATTTGTTGGAACCGCTTACTTTTGTGGAATCAGAAACAACTGTATATACTCGTTCGTTAAGGAATCTGCAACAATTTAAGTTACAAGTTTTGTACGCGGAAATCACGGAATTTTTGCGAGTGAAATCCATTTAGATTTTGGAACATGTTTAAAGACTTTTCTCTGGAATCCAGGAACTTGAATATACAAAATTGTGCGCCTATCCAGCGTAGAGTTTGGCATCGTAATGATTCAGCTAATTGTGCAAAAAATTGGGCTCTTTTCGTCGCCTTCATAGGCTTCTTTAGTCTCTTTTTGAGCTCGTTTTGAAACATTAACTCATACAGCTACTTTTGTTAACAATTTGGCTCAGGCAACTCCTTCTTTCTTCAAAAAAGGGCTCTTTGCAGCCTTTGCGGCTTTTTGGGCTCTTTTTGAATTGGGTTTTTTTGCACTCTTTTTGAAAACTTGGGCTCCTTCAGCTACTATCGCTAGCAACTGTGCTCTTGCAACTGCTTTTGTTAAAAAATTGGACTGTTTTTGAAGTCCTTTTGGTCTTTTATTGGGCTCTTTTTCAATTGGGCTTTATTTGGCTCCGTTTGAAAACTTGGCTTACTAAAACAAAGAGGTCGGTTGATAGATCTCTCTTTTTCAATTAGTAACTATAGTTATGTCTCGGTTAAATGATATCATAGATTATAGTCGATCTGGTCCTACTTTATATAAATAGATAAATCAAAAAGGAAATCAAATAAAAATGGTTAAATGTTATGCACAACTGTTCATCTGTTGTTAACTTTTACCAATAGGAGCGGATTTGTATTTTATGAATTTAAAACTTTCCTGTCTTACAATTTTCTGCTTGGAGGTAGTGGAGAAAAGACGGAAATAAGTTATTTTCCGCTGCTTGTCGAGAAAAAGGTACAATGTGTAAAATTTGTCCGACACTGGGGCGGTTGTTCTTCGTGTCCATTTTTATTTGATTGTTTCCTTTCACTTGATAGATTGTTTTCTTAAGTTGTTCAAGTGTTGAGTGATTCTACAAAAAAGAAATTTACAATAAAAAAAATTCATGTTGAAAAAAGAATATTTCAGTCGTCTGTTTGGGCGTAAGAAATTAGACTCACTAAAAAATGCATGCAGGCTTATCCGAAACAGTTTTTAGTTTGGTTTTCACTGCGCCTGCTATAATACTTCAGTCTTTTTTAAATATCTTATCCTCCGTTTGATCAGGAGACAGATATTTGCATTTCATTGATTTTTTAAATTAAAGATCTTAAATTTATCTGGGGGAACTCATAATGTTTTCACTTGTTTTAGTTAAATTAAAAATCAGAGCAGTGGGGGGTTTACCTATTTTCAAAGCCAAAACAATAGACATACTCCGCCTGACTGGCATCGTGGATGAAAATTAGGTTCCCTCGATCATCCGTTATACTTTTTTGAAAATCTTTGCCTTTTTTCAAAAGCTAATAAAACCGAAAGCAAAAAAAATAGTTTATAGTTCGAAAAGTAATTTATTCTTAAATTGAAATCAAAATGTTCAGTTAAAAAGGCAAATTCATTTTAAGGTGTTAACGAAATTAGAATAGAAAAGAGTCCACAATTGGCTTCTGGTAACTGCTTTTGTTGAAAATTGGGCTTTTTTCGAAACACTTTTGGGCTTTTTGAGCTTTTATTGAATTGTGCTCTTTTAGGCTCTTTTTCCATTGGACTCTTTTTGGACTCTTTTTGAGCTTATTTTGAAAAATTGGGCTCATTCAGACTCATACTGAGAAAACGAGACCAAAAACTGGGCCTAATTTGTCAAAAATTGAAGTTCTTTAGCGGGGGGGGGGGGGTAGTTTTAGGGGGGCTTTCCCTCAGACGCCCCCTTTCCCTCAGGTATTCGGCGCCCGCATCAACCAAATTGTCCTCTTTTCTAAAATATAATGACATCCATTTTAGGCCGACCAACCTTAAATTTTTTCTAAGGGCGCCTTTGGCGCCAATATATATTTTAACTTTGAGGGGTAGCTCGCCAAAACAAAGCAATTTTTTGGTCAGAACTTTTCCAATAAGTGCCCACAAACGGCATTTTTTACCTGTTTTATCAAAGTTTTGCCTGCAAAAAAACATGAAATTGTTTTTTGGTCAAAATAGGGTCTTTATAGTGTTTTCCGGAACCGTTCGGAAAAACAATTTGCTCGACCTAAAAAAAGGTCGACAAAATTTGCAAAAAAACTTTGAAAATCCGCACCCTTTAGAAAATTTTAGATCCGCCCCTGTGTTTAGCTCCTTTTGCCAAAAATTGGGGTCTTTCTGTTCGCAGAAACAACTACTGATTCCAATAACCAAAAGAAAAATTCGCTTTTTTTTCAATTCCTCAATCAAAATTGGTTGGTCCAATGTTTGTGTTGGCCTTATTGTTTTTTGGGTTAAAACGTCTACTGTATCAACTTGCGGAGTTTGGCGGCGGAAAACTCTTTTTAGTTCTCTCATGCAAAACTGAGTTCTGATTAGGTTTCGAAGGAAACTATTTCAACTTGAAGGCCGGAATAATATCAGAAGTTATGAATTGCACCGACTTTAAAATTGCATGAATAAGGTCATGGTTCTCTTTAATCATTTTGATATGAACATAGTTCTCTTTATATAAGTAATTGCTGAGCTTTAAATATTTTTTCTATAGTTTTATGGTTATATGCGAGAAAATCTTTTCTCTAGTCCGTAAAATAATTTTAAAAAACGAAAAAATCTATTAAAACTCTTCCCTAGGTTTTTTTTCAGAAATTCTTCGGGTTTTTTCATTAAGCATAAGCGTGATTCTTTTAGAAAGAGAAACACGCTTGGGTTTGGGTGATATGAAAAAATGAGCGTAGATATGCAGGGGCGGATCTAGGATTTTCTCGAGTGGAGGGGATTTTCAAAAAGTTTTGGAAAATTTTGACGACCTTTTTTATTTTTTAAGTCGATCAGATTGATTTTCCGAGCTCTCCAAAAGCAGTAAAAAGACCCTGTTTTGGCCAAATTTTCTGCGCCGCAGGCAATTTTTTGAAAAAAAAAAACAGCTAAAAAACTCGTTTTCAAAATTAGTATATATCCCCCTCAAAGTTAGTATACATTGGCACCAAAGGCACCTTTAGAAAACTTTATTGGTCAGTCGTCTAAAAATGGTTTTCTTAAAAAGTACCAAAGGGGGGTCGAATCCCTAAGAAGAAGGGGCGTCCATTTTTTTTTGGTCTAAACCTTCCAAATTTTGGCTTGATTTTTCAACAATTCGCCTGCGGCGTGATTTTTTTTTGCCAAAAAGAGGTCTTTGTAGTGTTTTGGCAGATCTCAGAAAATCAATTTGGTCGGTCGACACAAAAAAAAATGACAACGTTTTTTTTTCCCAAAAATTTGCCCTTCTGAAAAAGCCTAAATACACCCCTTGATGGAACATCATTGAAGTGAGAAGCTTGGAATCAATCAAAACCGATAAGAACTCGGTTTTTTGGCAGATTATGCGTCGCCATCTCCGGAAGAAGCATGAAAATCATAACATGGAAATCTTATAACACTGAAGAGATTTTCAGCTCCGTAAATTCATTGGTAATATCTATCTGTTTTCGACCACTCGACTCTTTTAATTCAGCCTTAGATGTAGGAAAATACTCAACTGCCATTGGCTGTACTTTGATCAAATTTGTTTTCACTCTCTTCCAAGTAGTCTCTGAAAAGTGAAATATTATTGAGGGGAAATTTGTGAACATGTGGCTCTAAACGCAGAAGTGCAATTGATAATTCTCTGAATTCAAACTCTAATTAAAGATCAACAATAAAAGCAATGAAAAAATAGAAACTCTTCTTTTTAAAAATTTCTAACTGACATCAAACATAAATACAACCGACAAGTTAAAAAGTCTCTAGCGTCAAAAAATAAGAAAATCAGTCTTTTCAGAGCAAAAATATCTACTTTTTTCTACTGTTTTTTCACCGGTTGTTCCATCAATAAAGTGAGGATAAATAAACATGTATTAAAAACAACATTCAATAAAATCGCAGGAGAGCTGAAATATCGAAAAAAACACCACCACTCTAAGCTAACAAAAATTATCTGAGTTTACCACCGTTGGACACTGCTATTTATTTATTACCACCGCTCTTCTTAATTTACTTCTTGTTAGCTGCGCCGCCTTCAGTTGTTACTAAATTTGACTTGGAAAAACGCCAAATAAGGACGCAATTTTAGATTAAAAAATCAAGGTTGTTTCTGTTTTATTGAGTCAATTTTGACATCTTTCGGGTTAGAACTTCAGCTTTTAGTTTAAACACTAAAAACATTGAATCAGTTTTTTTTTTGAAAAAAATTGTTCAAAAATAAACACATTCATATTCAAGGATTTTTTAGTCATGGCTTTAAGAGCCCTAATACATTAATGAAGGGCTTTAACGTCTGTACTTGACATAATGTATAAATGGCAGTTTCAGTACCAGCGCAAAAAGGCATATTGATTCATTGCAAATTCACGTAATTGGCTTTGAAAATGGATACTTTTTGGGCTGTTCATTAAAATTCCGGGGTTGTTATCATCTAAAAATCAGCACAGTATAAACTAAAGGTCAGATTTTTTCGTTAGTTTGAACGAACTTTACAAATTTACAGCTCAATGCTATTGGGAAGACTTCGTTTCAATGCATTTTTGGAATATCCGGAAATTCGAAATTTTATTTCAGGAATAATCATTGTTTATTGGCCAGCACAGGTAGAAAATCAAATTTTCAGACTGGTCGCTCAGAAATTTTGTTGATTTCCCATTTATTTCGCCTGCCTTTGTAAAATTTAGCTCAATTATTGGGCATGATTGCTCTACCAAGCTCATAGAAGAGCTTCACGCGTGAAAAATTTTGACTAGGTGATGTTACTTTTTCCAGTGACCTTAACAATTCTAGAACAAAATCTTTCATTTACATAATTCTTTGATACTACCCAAAATAGCCCTATTTTTTCTAAACATTATTACCCAAATTTATTTCTCATTATTACCCAACATTACCTATTATTACAGTAAGAATTACCCAGCGTTACCTTGTATATAGTTCTTTGAAGTTTGATTAGCAAAATGTGGCTGCTGGATTAAAGTTACTTCTTCTCTTTTAATCTGTCACTGACCTACCCGACCCATAACTCTTGTTAAGTACAAAACAAAAGCTATACACAAATATAGTTTTTTCATGTGTAAATAATTCAGCAATCTAGACAACCGCCTAATCACAGCAGCAAATTCAACTTATGCAACAAAACACATGAAAAAAACTATCAACATGTTTTTTGCTACCAGAATAGGTGAACAAATATTGAAATCACTAATAAACAGTGGCAAAATCATTACTTTTGATGGAACTTTCGACCGGACAGAATGAATCGCGAAGTTATCCGCTTGCTTGGAATTATCAGAATCAGAGGGAAACCCACAAACTGCGTCCTGTTTACGACAACTTGGATTATAATCTGTTTTTTGGTTTTATTCGGCGAGGCTAGATACTCAGACAACGACCATCAATTCAAGTTCGAAATCACAGGTGAATAAAAATAAACTTAATTTTTTTAAGTTACTGATTAGAGTTTAGAAACACTACATCGAGAGCCATTCAATTTTTCTTTGCATATACTTTTCAGATGAGGCAAGTTAAGATCATCCACCTCAGCATTTAAATTGGGTTATGTTTGCTAATTTCCCCATGTATTTAGCAGTTCCTAAATTTAGTTCCTGAATTTTCGATATAAAAAGAAAACAAAATAATTAAATAAGATCAAGTTATAGAGCAATTTTTTAATTTTGTATAACATTTGAATCCAATTAAGACTTTTTCAGCGCCAGCTAATATTTCAAATGGAACAACTTTCAATAAGCTCTCCGAGGAGAAGCTATCTGAAAAAGCCCAAAACTTTCAAAAAAAGCCCAAAAAGCACAACGATGAACCGGAGAACTCGGAAGTCGTTAAACACGTAAAAGACGCTCAGCGGGGGTTTTCGCTGGGTTTTCAGCAACATAGACAGCTGTTGTACTCAGCTGCTAGACACCTCATAACAGGTAATGTAGACATGCGAGCAGAGATGAATTCGTTGGCTAGTTTTTAGTTCTCAAATGTTTGGATGACAGTCGTCTTTCTATGTCTTGAGTTGTCTTCGGTTCTTAAAATAATCGAAACTTTTCAGTCACGGGACACAGAAGTTGCAAAATTTTGAATTCAACGAGCAAATGAACGATTTTTTTTGCTTGAATGAACTTTTTAAATCCTTTTCTTTCGTTTTACCGCGGCATGGAGTGTAATTCAAACTCATCAGCTTCCCAACGAAAACGAACCCACTACCCATTTCAGCCCATATTTTTAAGCTCCTTGTGTTGTTTACGAGGATTTCTTTTTCTATACTGGCTGATTTAGGCCTTCAAAACAGAATTCTTAAAGGTTGGCCAGGCCAGCTCTTTTCAAATAATTGAATCTAGCATGCTTCAAAACTTCTAACTAGATCTGAAAAACTTGCAAAGAAACCTACAAAAACGTGAACACAATTTTGAAATCAAAAAGTTGCAATTTTTTTGTCCCGCGACTGTCGATACTAATTTAAATGTTTCAAAATTCCAAAAATAAATACGGACCATAAGTCAAAAGAGCAACAGATTATAAGCCAAAAAATAGAAAAAAAAAATTATTTTGTAGCTCAAACAGAAACCTGAAACGATTTCCAAATCATATCATGTTCGATATTTTCATTTTTGAGATGAACAGCTGCGATTAATTTAGTTGCTACTAACAGTACTAGCCAGCTCAACAGTTGTAGCTTATCGAAAACTTGTGGCAGTTCCTTCCAGCCCCTCCCCCCACTCCCCTTAAATTTGATAATGTTATTTGCTTCGGTGTTGAAAAAAATCATGATTTCGTTGAACTAAACTTGTTAATATTCCAAACTTTTGTGCTTTTCGCTTGTAACTTAAGATGCGTCTTGGACAGGAAACACAAAAATTGATAAATAAACAATTAGTGGCATTTTTGTGTCTGATTTATTTGTTTTGTTTCAAAGTTTTTGTTTTGTATTTTTTTGCTTCAGTATCCGTGGAAAAAATTGAGCTAAAATAAAAAACCGATTGTTCGACACAAAACAGTCTTTCTTATTGGATCTTGCTTGTCATTCATTCTCAGGTATTATCTTTTTTAAATCATCTGTTTTATTTTTCTTATGTTCTCGGAACTGAAAACATATCGCATTCAATTTTTTTTCGATTTTAAGTTTGAAAATAATCTGACCTTAAAAACTTTTCGCCAAAAAACGCTTTTATATAGGGTTGACGATTGTGCTGTTTGTTCGCAGTTTGTGATTCACCATTTCCTTGGTCTGCTGTTAAAGTTTTGATAGTACACTGGAAAAAAAATTTTATGTGAAAACAGTTCACCAGAAAACCCATAATTTTAAGACTGTCCCTTAAAGTAACTAATCCAAAATTGGGACAAAAATTTCAGCACCACCTATTAAAAAACAAAAGGTTAATTTTTGAAGCCCCAAAAAAGTTCGAATAGTGTTAAATACTGGGTGATAAATTTTTTGCCTCATTTCAGGATACTTTTATTTCTGAGCCTTGTTAATACCAAAATCAATAGGTGAAAAAATTTTATGTCTGAGCTTATGACTTAGGGCATCAATATTCATCAGACAAAATTTAAAAATTATCTTAATAATCACTTATGATTCCTACGAACCGCCGAGCAGCTAACCGTAGGCCTTGACGGACCTGTCCTGTTTAAGAACAGTCATTTTGTTTTAATTCCCATCATTCCAGACTGAGCTGTTTCGTTGAGTGAAGCTCTTTTTTGCGACTCAAGGCCGTTTATTTGTGCGTCTAGAAATTTCGCATGGTTCCATTATTGCAGTCAAAGTTAGTCAGGCAAAACGGTTAACGAAAATCTCGAAAATGATTTGCACGCTCCAGCCAGCTCATTATTTTATCATGTTCTTCAGGGGGAAAAAAGCTTTGGAAAAAAGTATTATAAAAATCATAAAATATTGAAAATAATATTGAATGTTCTCGACTGACAATTATTCTTGCTGGGACTAAAAATGATTAATCAATTCCCATGGCGAATATTTTTGAACCTTGTAAGTTGATAAAGTTGAACAAATTGAACTTTAGGCAACAAATTTAACTGATTTGAATGAAAATATACCGTCTCTTTTAAAGTTTCTTATGAATTCCGCAGATTTTTTATTGTGAAAAATAACAAAATAAAAGCTTAAAACTGAAAGTTCTGCCCTAAATGTTTATTCGTAGTCAAGAATGCCGTCATGAAATATATGGTTTTGGAATACTGAGCTCTATTTTAAAACGCATGAAAGTTTGCCCTTTTCTGCCTCATGGAAAACAGAATTTACTTTTTTCTCAGATCGGAGAGTGAATAGATGTTTTAACTGTTTTTTTCTTAGATTTCGGGAAGCAGAGCGCCAATTTTCACACAGAGTTCACGCAAGACTAACTTAAGCCTAGTTTTCTAGAAAAAAAATAAGACATCAAATTAAAAATTTCAACTAAAAATATCAATTTTTGGATAAAAATTAATTTTTCAGATTTTTTTCTAATTGTGAGTGTTTTTGTTCTGACTCCTTTTGAGTAAAATGACGGAATATTTGTGCTTGGGATGTTTTTTTTTCCAGACAGTTCCGACAATTTTACTAGCAAATTTTGACAAAATTTAATTATTTCATTTAAAAGTTATTGTTGTCCTGAACTCAATTTTACAAAAAAAAACCTATGAGCATTTTGTAGTTATGGGGTTTTATAGATTGCCAATATGGCCAATTTGGGGCAACTAAAGCGCGATATCTGTCTTACAATTGTTTCAAAATTGGTTGTTGAAGGCTTTTTTTTTTAAAATGCTACGTTACTAGGAGCAAAATTGATCAATTTGTACTTTATGTACTTTAATTGGCGAGTGGGGGATGGTTTTTAAAAAAAACTTATAAAATAGAACGTTTTTTTTTAGGTGCACACTGCTCTATAGACCTTAAAAAGCTGTCGAAATAGTCAGGGCTTTGTCTTGACACGAGTAGTCTGGTTGAAATTTTACGGTCATCTGAGTCCTACTGTGCTATAACTTTCTGGTTTTAGCGGAGCTCATATCTTATAAAAAGCTATTTTAACAACTCTTTTAAAACAAAAAATAATAAAATTAATTTTGCCAAATTTCTAGGAAAATTTTTTCGACGAGATGATTTGTAACGTCAGAATTTCATAAAAAAAAGGAAATAGAAAAATTGAATATCTTTTACCTGTTTTTGGAATTTCTTTATGGAATTTTTCCCCACTAACCTCTAGGAGGTGTTTTCAAACAGCTGAGGCCGCTGAAATTTGTTTACTTCAAGATAAAAACAAATCCTAATCTAATCTGATTCCTTATGATCCTTTATTAAGGAGTTAAAACATTTCGTAGATAATTCGTAAATATGTAAAACTTTTTGCACCATCTTTTTTTGGAATATTTTAGGCTCTAATTAGAGGCTTCTTTAGTTATGTCTAAAATCAACCCTTTTAGCGGGAAACCTAATTTACGTTCAAAGTTTTGGTCGGATAAATTATAAGAAATTAGTTGTATCTAGAGGGGTTTTAAGGATTTCCAATATGGCCAATTTGGGACAATTAACGCGCGATATCTGTCTTACAAATCTTAATAGTTTTGAGAATAGTTTTGAGCGTGTTATCTACGCAAAAGTACCAGGCACCAGGGGATCTAAGTAGTGTGTGGGGGAGTGCGGACGCCTTCACTTAGGGATACCGACCCAAAGGGTTTCCCCTTTATACTAATTTGAGATATCCATTTTTGGTTGATGGACACTAAAATATTTCCAAAAGCGCTTACGTTGCCAATATTTACTAATTTTGAGAAGGAAGCGCGCGCCAAAAAAAACCTGCGTAGTCTTTTTCTAACCAGTCAACAATTTACTTGATAACAAAAGAGCTGTGCGTATTTTCTTAACCACACAAAAATTTGCAGTTTAGCTCAAAATTAAGCTAGATTTTTTGGTGACCTAGAGAGTTAAGAAATCATTACACATCATATAGTTAGTCACGCCGCTTCAAACGCATCGGAAATGGATCAGATATAAATTGGAGCGTTTTTTGTTCGTCAAGAAATTCAAGGCAATCGAAACATACCCATTTTTGGTAGAGAAAGTCGAAATATAAATAATCGGGGTCGAGCAAACAAATGTAAAAAAAATGTAAGAAAATCGAAGTAAACCAAATTTTGTTCGAAAAAATTTAATATATCTATGCGTGGCCGAACAAATGGTCGAGAAATTAGAGGAAAAATAAAACATTTCGAATTTTGGTCAAAAACGTTGAAACAGATCTGAACTAGGGTCGAACATATTCGAAACATACCCTTTTTTGGTCGAGAAAGTCGAAACATACCAAAATTTGGTCATAAGTCGAAATATACCAAAATTTGGTCGAGAAAATCGAAACATATCAAAATTCGGCCAAGAAAGTCAAAACATACCAAAATTTAGTCGAGACGGTCGAAACATACCG